GATGCTTTCTCTGGTGAGTTACATTCAGCCTTTTGCGAATTGAAGGAAAGTTATGAAACACAGAGTGACGAAAGATACATTATTTTATATGTTTTTTCTTGGTCATTTTTGGGGGAAAGCCTGGCTTCCCTTAGCATCCATGAATACACACCACTGATAGGAGTGACAATATGATGGAGCGGAGTGACTTGGTGTATAGAGGAGGAGAGGGCCTTGAACTGAATCCTGGGGGACACCAGTAGTGAGAGTATGTGGTGCAGACACAGATCCTCTCCACGTCACTTGGTAGGAGCGGCCTGCCAGGTAGGATGCAATCGAATAGTGTGCAGAGCCTGAGACACCCAGCCCAGACAGGGTTAGGGGAGGTTGAATACATTAGTGGATATGTGAATAAGTGTGAACAACTGCAGATTTCTGTGGAGAGATTACTAGAGGAATAGGAGCTATGACTAATCTGACACTGACAACTTTGTGGCTTCCTGTTTTGAGTAACTATCAATCGCTAGTTCCTGATTGATTCTGTGTACTAGGGCCAACTAAAGCGTCAGTTCATTCCCACTGGGCACAGACTTCAGTTCAATGTTTAATTTTGATTTACATTTGGTTGAGTTGTCAACTATCCTGAATTCAATGTGAAATCAACAAAACCTTTCACCATGTCATTGGATTTAGGTTAAAAGTTGGGTGAAAAAAAGACGAAATTCCCTTATATTGATGACTTTTTAAAAATCCAATCAGTTTTCCACTTTGATTAAACATCATCACGTTGATTCAACCATATTTTTTCCCAGTGGGTTAGATTTCGGGCAATGATAACTCAGTACTGACGTGTGTTTCTGTTACATCACATCAGTTTTCTAATGCTAATAGGTACAGGTGTTTTCAGACCTAAGCTGTGTTCGAATACCCATACTAACATACTGTAAACTACAGTACCAGTCAAAAGATTGGACACACCTACTCATCACAGGGTTTTTCTTTATTTTTTAAAACTATTTTCTACTTTGTAGAATAATAGTGAAGACTCTATGAACTAACACATATGGAATCATGTAGTAACCAAGAAAGTGTTAAACAAATCAAAATATATTATATATTTTAGATTCTTCAAAGTAGCTACCCTTTGCCTTGATGACAGCTATGCACACTCTTGGCATTCTCTCAACGAGCTTCATGAGGAATGCTTTTCCAACAGTCTTGAAGGCGTTCCCACATATGCTGAGCACTTGTTGGCTGCTTTAACTTCACTCTGCAGTCCAACTCATCCCAAACCATCTTAATTGGGTTGAGGTCGGGTGATAGTGGAGGCCAGGTAATCTGATGCAGCACTCCATCACTCTCCTTCTTGGTCAAATAGCCCTTACACAGACTGGAGGTGTGTTTTGGGTCAGATTGTCTGTTCATAAATTCAGACCGTTCAGAGCGCACACTGCCCGCTCTGGCCGAGGAGTAGGGTTGATCCGAGCGTTCTGACCTCACAACGGCAGTCAACCACCCAAGCTAATTGGCTAGCTACTTCCAGACACAAATAAGAGAACACCGCACTCTGACCATTTTACTCACCCTAGCAGAGCTGGTTAGGCTGTTTTCATGTTATCCAGAGTGTTGGTGACTGTAACTGTGCTGCTGGCAACTATTTAATTACACTTTTTTTGCTGATGTTTACTGACACCGGCCATATTCAACGAGTGTTGAGCGTTCGTAAATTCAACAGTTATTCTGCGCTCCGGCACACTCAGACAAAAGTGCTCTGAAATCGGAGTAGATAGCCAGAATGAACAATGTCCATTGAGAACGTACAATGACTATAACACTTAGCTAAGAATGAGGTGAATAATCAAGTCAATAAACGTTGGGTAGTTAGATGGCATATAGTTAATATACTGGCAAGTTCAATGTATTAGTAACCAACTAACATTAGGTAGCTAGCTAACATACCGGTACATACAGTCGTGGTCAAAAGTTTTGAGAATGACACAAGTATTGGTCTTCACAAAGTTTGCTGCTTCAGTGTTTTTAGATATTTTTGTCAGATGTTCCTATGGTATACTGAAGTATAATTACAAGCATTCCATAAGTGTTAAAGGCTTTTATTGACAATTACATTAAGTTTATGCAAAGAGTCAATATATGCAGTGTCTTCTTTTTCAAGACCTCTGCAATCTGCCCTGGCATGCTGTCAATGAACTTCTGGGCCACATCCTGACTGATGGCAGCCCATTCTTGCATAATCAATGCTTGGAGTTTGTCAGAATTTGTGGGTTTTTGTTTGTCCACCCGCCTCTTGAGGATTGACCACAAGTTCTCAATGGGATTAAGGTCTGGGGAGTTTCCTGGCCATGGACCCAAAATGTTGATGTTTTGTTCCCCGAGCCACTTAGTTATCACTTTTGCCTTAAGGCAAGGTGCTCCATCATGCTGGAAAAGGCATTGTTCGTCACCAAACTGTTCTTGGATGGTTGGGAGAAGTTGCTCTCTGAGGATGTGTTGGTACCATTCTTTATTCATGGCTGTGTTCTTAGGCAAAATTGTGAGTGAGCCCACTCCCTTGGCTGAGAAGCAACCCCACACATGAATGGTCTCAGGATGCTTTACTGTTGGCATGACACAGGACTGATGGTAGCGCTCACCTTGTCTTCTCCGGACAAGCTATTTTCCGGATGCCCCAAACAATCGGAAAGGGGATTCATCAGAGAAAATGACTTTACCCCAGTCCTCAGCAGTCCAAGAATATCCCCAGAATATCAGTCTGTCCCTGATGTTTTTCCTGGAGAGAAGTGGCTTCCTTGCTGCCCTTCTTGACACCAGGCCATCCTCCAAAAGTCTTCGCCTCACTGTGCGTGCAGATGCACTCACACCTGCCTGCTGCCATTCCTGAGCAAGCTCTGCACTGGTGGTGCCCCGATCCCGCAACTGAATCAACTTTAGGAGACGGTCCTGGTGCTTGCTGGACTTTCTTGGGCGCCCTGACACCTTCTTCACAACAATTGAACCTCTCTCCTTGAAGTTCTTGATGATCCGATAAATTGTTAATTTAGGTGCAATCTTACTAGCAGCAAAATCCTTGCCTGTGAAGCCCTTTTTGTGCAAAGCAATGATGACGGCACGTGTTTCCTTGCAGGTAACCATGGTTAACAGAGGAAGAACAATGATTTCAAGCACCACCCTCCTTTTAAGGCTTCCAGTCTGTTATTCTAACTCAATCAGCATGACAGAGTGATCTCCAGCCTTGTCCTCGTCAACACTCTCACCTGTGTTAACGAGAGAATCACTGACATGATGTCAGCTGGTCCTTTTGTGGCAGGGCTGAAATGCAGTGGAAATGTTCTTTTTGGGATTAAGTTAATTTTCATGGCAAAGAGTGACTTTGCAATTAATTGCAATTCATCTGATCACTCTTCATAACATTCTGGAGTATATGTAAATCATAAAAACTGAGGCAGCAGACTTTGTGAAATTTAATATTTGTATCATTCTCAAAACTTTTGACCACGAATGTACTACTGTAATGATATGGTATGCGGTTCATAAGGATAGCGTAACTAACAAATTGTCAGCCAACATAACGTATAACCTAACTTATTTGAAAAGACATTACTTTATTACATTGCTCAACATTTTCTTAACATTTGTCATAATTAGTTAAAGCAATGAATTTGTATCCGCTCTCTTCGGACTTCAGCTGCATATTTTTCGCCATTTTCTTCAAATCTCCCGAGTGGTGCAGTGGTCTAAGGCACTGCATCGCAGTGCTAGCTGTGCCACTAGAGATCCTGGTTCGAATCCAGGCTCTGTTGTAGCCAGCTGCGACCGGGAGACCCATGGGGCGGCGCACAATTTGTCCAGGGTAGGGGAGGGAATGGCCGGCAGGGATGTAGCTCAGTTGGTAGAGCATGGCGTTTGCAACGCCAGGGTTGTGGGTTCGATTCCCACGGGGGGCCAGTATGAAAAAATATAAATAATAATGTATGCACTAACTGTAAGTCGCTCTGGATAAGAGCATCTGCTAAATGACTAAAATGTAATCTGAAAACGTTGAAGCCACGCTCATTTCCTGAAGAATTGCATTATGGGCCCTAAATGACGGAAATAGTGTCTACTGCTTGTATACTTCCTATTTTGGCAAATGTAGTATGACATCCGACTAACTATATCCATACTATGACCAATAAGCATACTACATACTCAATTTACGTCACAAATAGTACTGTTAGTGCGGTTAGTATGAGTATTAGAACACAACTCTAGTTTGCGTGTCTCTGAATAAACTGAATCTGTGATAGTAGCAGAATCCATCCCAAAAGTGACAGAGAAGGACATCTGCATTTCCTATGTTGGTTGGTAGCACCACCATGTGGTTAGTGCTACCTCCCAAGTGATGATAAAAGTGAATAAACTGTCAAATAGAGGTTCTGTCCGAATACCCTACTAGCGTACTACATACTTAAACTGTATACTCATTTCGGCATTTGATCTAGTAGAATACACTTGTTTTTTCCGACTCACGTGTTTGACAACAGCTGATAATCAGATAAATTGACGCGCTGTACCAAAATGAATGAATGGCGGGAGTCAACGCAAATTGCCCATAGATGACGCATACAGAGTAATATTTTCGAAATTTCACATACTATAAAACATTCTTTTTTTTGCATAATATTTAGTACGCTAATATGGGTAGCCAGACACGGCCACTTTCTCCATATCAAATCTATTTACCATCTATAATATCTAGTATTGACTAATTCACAACATGATAGATACCTGAAAATACCATTAATATCACAAGAAATCACACATACACAAATACACAGTTTGACAATGTATTCTGTTATCTCATTATACAATCAAATATGTTCAGCGAAACAAACAATGCATATGCAAAACAGTTACAGTTTTCACAAAATGAATTCAGTTTAGTAACTACTACACACACACCATTTTTTTAAAGCTTTTTTGGTTCAGTCTTGAACTAAGTCTCAAGAACAATGTCTGTTGGCTCAATATGGGGGGAGCTGATATGCCCCCCAGTAAGTATTCTCTCCCCCATTCCTAAAACTATTGGGTGTTATCTCAAGGCTGAGACTGTTACCTTGTTGGAGCTTAACCATCCTGGACATGAACACAGTGCCCTCTTTCTCTCCGTGATACACGGCTTCACTCAGGCTCCTCTGCGCTGTCTTATTTTGAATGGCATTTTTTATCAGAGTCACCTTCCTCTTCTCCTCTCCCCTGATGTACCTAGTGAAGGTGACCTGGGCAAAGAAGTAGTAGAAGCCTTCAGATGCGATGTAGACAGAGTTGTTGCGGAGGACGAGGGAGCAAGAGCCACAGATGGGGATATCATGGTCATTCTCCCAAGATACCGTTCCTTCTCATGAGGACAGAAAAGAAAAGAAAAGAGAAGAGAAGAGAAGAGAAGAGAAGAGAAGAGGAGAGGAGAGAAGAGAAGAGAATAAAATATTAAAATGCTTTACATCATATAATGGGTTAATGTCAAAAATGTAAATATATACTACATGGGCAAAAGTATGTGGACACCTGCTCGTCGAACATCTCATTCCAAAATCATGGGCATTAATATGGAGTTGGTCCCCCCTTTGCTGCTATAACAGCCTCCACTCTTCTGGGAAGGCTTTCCACTAGATGTTGCAACATTGATGCGGAGACTTGCTTCCATTCAACCAAAAAAGCATTATTGAGGTCGGGCACTGATGTTGGGCGATTAGGCCTGGCTCGCAGTTGGCGTTCCAATTCATTCCAAAGGTTTTCGATGGGGTTGAGTTAAGGGCTCTGTGCAGGCCAGTCAAATTCTTCCACACCGATCTCGACAAACAATTTCTGTATGGACCTCGCTTTGTACACGGGGGCACTGTCATACTGAAACAGGAAAGGGCCTTCCCCAAACTGTTGCCACAAAGTTGGAAGCACAGAATCATCTATTATGTTATCGTATGCTATAGCGTTAAGATTTCCCTTCACTGGAACTAAGGGGCCTAGCCCGAACCATGAAAAAATGCCCCAGACCATTATTCCTTGTCCACCAAACTTTACAGTTGGCACTATGCATTCGGGCAGGTAGCGTTCTCCTGGCATTCACCAAACCCAGATTCGTCTGTCGGACTGCCAGATGGTGAAGCGTAATTCATCACTCCAGAGAATGCATTTCCACTGCTCCAGAGTCCAATGGCAGCAAGCTTTACCCCACCCCAGCCAACACGTGGCATTGCGCATGGTGATCTTAGGCTTGTGTGCGGCTGCTCGGCCATGGAAACCCATTTCATGAAGCTCCCAACGAACAGTTATTGTGCTGACGTTGCTTCCAGAGGCAGTTTGGAACTCGGTAGGGAGTGTTGCAACCGAGGACAGACAGTTACGCGCTTCAGCACTCAGCGGTCCCGTTCTATGAGCTTGTATGGCCTACCACTTCGCGGCTGGGCCGTTGTTGCTCCTAGACGTTTCCACTTCACAATAAAAGCACTTACAGTTGACCGGGGCAGCTCTAGCAGGGCAGAAATTTGATGAACTGACTTGTTGGAAAGGTGGCATCCTATGACGGTGCCACGTTGAAAGTCACTGAGCTCTTCAGTAAGGGCCATTCTACTGCCAATGTTTGTCTATGGGGATTGCATGGCTGTGTGCTCAATTTTATACACCTGTCAGCAACGGGTGTGGCTGAAATAGCCGCATCCACTAATTTGAAGGGGTGTCCACATACCTTTGTATATATAGTGTATGTTTGTGCATATATTTGAACACAGACAGGTGGCAAAATATTGAATAACTACACCTTACAACCTATAATGTATTTTCCCAGACAGTAATTGTAGCATTGTCTTGGGTTCAGTGCGTTTCCCACATCTAAGCAGTTACAGTAGATGGGTTGATTGTGGGTCTTGAAACCCACTTCACAAAGGAGCAGACAGGGGATGGCAGGAACACAAAGCATGATGAGGGAAACATTGGCGGAACTACAGTTGAAGTCGGAAGTTTACATACACTTAGGTTGGAGTCATTAAAACTTGTTTTTCAACCACTCCACACATTTCTTGTTAACAACCTATAGTTTTGGCAAGTCGGTTAGGACATCTACTTTGTGCATGACACAATTGTTTACAGACAGATTATTTAACTTGACCTTTAAATAGCTTGGAAAATTCCAGAAAATGATGTCATGGCTTTAGAAGCTTCTGATAGGCTAATTGACATCATCTGCGTCAATTGGAGGTGTATCTGTGGATGTATTTCAAGGCCTACCTTCAAACTCAGTGCCTCTTTGCTTGACATCATGGGAAAATCAAAAGAAATCAGCCAATTATTGTAGACCTCCACAACTCTGGTTCATCCTTGGGAGCAATTTCCAAATGCCTGAAGGTACCACGTTCATCTGTACAAACAATAGTACGCAAGTATAAACACCATGGGACCACGCAGCCGTCATACCGCTCAGGAAGAAGACGCGTTCTGTCTCCTAGAGATGAACGTACTTTGGTGCGACAAGTGCAAATCAATCCCAGAACAACAGCAAAGGACCTTGTAAAGATGCTGGAGGAAACAGGTACAAAAGTATCTATATCCACAGTAAAACGAGTCCTATATCGACATAACCTGAAAGGCCGCCCAGCAAGGAAGAAGCCACTGCTCCAAAACCGCCATAAAAAAAGCCAGACTATGGTTTGCAACTGCACATGGGGACAAAGATCGTACTTTTTGGAGAAATGTCCTCTGGTCTGATGAAACAAAAATAAAACTGTTTGGCCATAATGACCATCGTTAGGTTTGGAGGAAAAAGGGGAAGGCTTGCAAGCCGAAGAACACCATCCCAACCGTGAAGCATGGGGGTGGCAGCATCATGCTGTGGGGGTGCTTTGCTGCAGGAGGGACTGGTGCACTTCCCAAAATAGATGGCATCATAAGGAAGGAAAATTATGTGGATATATTGAAGCAAAATCTCAAGACATTAGTCAGGAAGTTAAAGCTTGATCGCAAATGGGTCTTCCAAATGGACAATGACCCCAAGCATACTTCCAAAGTTGTGGCAAAATGGCTTAAGGACAACAAAGTCAAGGTATTGGAGTGGCCATCACAAAGCCCTGACCTCAATCCTATAGAAAATTTGTGGGCAGAACTGAAAAAGCGTGTGCGAGCAAGGAGGCCTACAAACCTGACTCAGTTACACCAGCTCTGTCAGAAAATTCACCCAACTTATTATGGGAAGCTTGTGGAAGGCTACCCGAAACGTTTGACCCAAGTTAAACAATTTAAAGGCAATGCTACCAAATACTAATTGAGTGTATGTAAACTTCTGACCCACTGGGAATGTGATGAAAGAAATAAAAGCTGAAATAAATCATTGTCTCTACTATTATTCTGACATTTCACATTCTTAAAATAAAGTGGTGATCCTAACTGACCTAAGACAGGGAATTTTTACTAGGATTAAATGTCAGGAATTGTGAAAAACTGAGTTTAAATGTATTTGGCTAAGGTGTATGTAAACTTCCGACTTCAACTGTACCAGTGGTCACCATTCCTGGTCAGGGAGAGCTAAAGAGTGTGCATGTTTTTGTTTCTGCCCAGCACTAACACACCTGATTAGTGTGTTACTAGTGAACTGCTCATCAATATAACTAGTGAACTGCTCATCACCAATCAGGTGTGTTAGAGGTGGGCTGAAACAACCATTGTTTGACAGTAATGAAATATTATACAGGGGAGAGTTTGACTGCCTATTTTTGGTCTTGACAAGATACGCTTTCATATAAATGGCATTGATATTTGAGAAATGATCCAGAAATGAAAAGAGGAACACACTGAGAATAGAATCTCAGCTGTACGGTGACTATTTTAATTTATTGAAACAAGTCCTGCTGAGATTGAAACAAGTCCTACTGAGATTGAAACAAGTCCTGCTGAGATTGAAACAAGTCCTGCTGAGATTGAAACAAGTCCTGCTGAGATTGAAACAAGTCCTGCTGAGATTTCTTTTAAAGTCCTGCTGAGATTGAGGCTGTCCTATTATGGACATTGTACAGGTGAGAGAAAGGTATGAATCTAAAGTCATCCTGACGGAGACGGGAGGAAAATTCTCACCCTGTACTCTGTACTTCCTGCCGGTCAACAAGTTGTTTCATGCCAAAGTGTATCTGGGAAGTCAAGTGTCTTCATGTTGGTGCGTCACAAGTCTTTGAATGTGCGTAAATCAGAGAGATAAATGGAGAGGGGGAGGGAGAGCGACAAGGATTTCATCATGGTTTCGGAATGTTTTCTGATATTCATATTAGCCCCGGGCATAGCTGAAACACATATCCACAGTAAAACGAGTCCTATATCGACATAACCTGAAAGGCCGCCCAGCAAGGAAGAAGCCATTGCTCCAAAACCGCCATAAAAAGCCAGACTACGGTTTGCAACTGCACATGGGGACAAAGATCGTACTTTTTGGAGAAATGTCCTCTGGTCTGATGAAACAAAAATATAACTGTTTGGCCATAATGACCATCGTTATGTTTGGAGGAAAAAGGGGAAGGCTTGGAAGCCAAAGAACACCATCCCAACCGTGAATAACTGGGGTGGCAGCATCATGCTGTGGGGGTGCTTTGCTGCAGGAGGGACTGGTGCACTTCACAAAGTAGATGGCATCATGAGGAAGGAAAATTATGTGGATATATTGAAGCAACATCTCAAGACATCAGTCAGGAAGTTAAAGCTTGGTCACAAATGGTCTTCCAAATGGACAGTGACCCCAAGCATACTTCCAAAGTTGTGGCAAAATGGCTTAAGGACAACAAAGTCAAGGTATTGGAGTGGCCATCACAAAGCCCTGACCTCAATCCTATAGAAAATGTGTGGGCAGAACTGAAAAAGCGTGTGCAAGCAAGGAGGCCTACAAACCTGACTCCAGTTACACCAGCTCTGTCTGGAGGAATGGGCCAAAATTCACCCAACTTATTGTGGGAAGCTTGTGGAAGGCTACCTGAAACATTTGACTCAAGTTAAACAATTGAAAGGCAACGCTACCAAATACTAATTGAGTGTATGTAAACTTCTGACCCAGTGGGAATGTGATGAAATAAATAAAAGCTGAAATAAATCATTCTCTCTACTATTATTCTGACATTTCACATTCTTAAAATAAAGTGGTGATCCTAACTGACCTAAGACAGGGAATTTTTACTAGGATTAAATGTCAGGAATTGTCACGACTTCCTCCGAAGCTGCCTCCCCTCCTTATTCGGGCAGGCTTCGGCGTTCGTCGTCACCGGCCTTCTAGCCACTGCCGCTCCATATCTCATCATTCCATCTGTCTTGTCTTGTCATTACACACACCTGGTTCATATTTCCCTCATTAGTACGTGTTTAAGTGTTCCCTCTGCCCCCTTGTCCTTGTGGGTGATTGTTCGTTGTGAGGATTAGTAGCTCGGTTGAGCTCAGTATTTATGTATTGCCGGGGTATTTTTCCCCCGTGTGCATGTTTGTTCCAGTGCGTCTGTTTTGCACACTGGACTGGTTACTCTGGATTACGGAATAAACTCTGTATACTGTGATTTACCCTCCTGCGCCTGACTTCAAATCACGCATCACAGGAATTGTGAAAAACTGAGTTTAAATGTATTTGGCTAAGGTGTATGTAAACTTCCGACTTCAACTGTAAATGTAAACCTTAATCTGAGCACACCATGATTGTATAGCTAGCATTATAACCTTACATTAACCCACAGTTAATACACCTACCCTCACAATAGCTTAATGTTTCATGAATAGATTGAATATTTGCATAATGTTTTCAATACATAAATATAATTTTCTGATTAAAAAAGATGCATAACATCATGTTGCTAATAGACATACAATTATATTTGACTGTTTAGTAATATTTTCTGCTCATGGTGAGTAAGCGTGTTATGCTACAGTATGCGATAATGTGACCACAGCCATCCAGTCAGGATCTGGGGTGGTAAAAGCTTGGTAGTACGCCTCTAGGCCTGGTACACAATCCAGTTGTACAACTGATGTAGGCCTACACACATTTGGCACAACGGTTGTGATACAACAGAGAGTTGTTTTACTCAAGCGTTCTGGAGACACCGCACAATGGTTGTGTAAACATACACTCAGCACCCCGCTTCTACACACAGTGAGTCACGTGGCCGTGGCTTGCTATATAAATCAGGCAGAAGGCCTCGAGGCATTCAGTTACTGTTCGATTGAATGGGCAAGACTAGTGATTTAAGCGACTTGGAGCGTAATATGATCGTCGGTACCAGGCACCAGTATCTCAGAAACGGCCTCCTGGGCCTTTCACTCATGACAGTGTCAAGGGTTTACAGAGAATGGTGCGACAAACAAAACATATCCAGTCAGCGGCAGTCCTGTGAGCGAAAACAGCTCGTTGATGAGAGAGGACAAAGGAGAATGGTGCAAGCTAACAGGCGGGCCACAAACAGACAAATAACGGCACAGTACAACAGTGGTGTGCAGAACGGCATCTCGGAACGCACAACTCCTCAATCCTTGTCACAGATGGGCTATTGCAGCAAACGACCACACCGGGTTCCACTCCTATCAGCTAAAAACAAGAAGAAGTTGCTTCAGTGGGCCAACACTGTACAATAGAGGAGTGGAAAAACATCGCCTGGAACATGACAGCGAGTTCAGTTTACTTGAGTGGCCTGCGCAGTCCGCATACCTCAACCCAATAGAGCATTTTTGGGATGAGATGGAATGGGCGGTTTGCAACATGAATGTACCGCCATCAATCTGCAGCAACTGCGTGATACCATCGCGTCAGCATGGACCAACATCCCTGTGGAACGTTTCCGACACCTTGTAGAATGCCCGAATAATTCAGGCTGTTCTGGAGGCAAAGGGGGGTCCGACCCGGTACTACATGGTGTACCTAATAAACTGACTGGTGAGTGTATTTTGCAGACACACTCTCCATTGTATCATATAAATAGTAGGTGTATCACAACCATTGTGTCAAATGTGTTAGATCAGTTGTGCAACCTGAGTGTGTACAGGGCCCTAGTCTTGTTTAGTGGAACTGACAAGTTCAGACAGACAGCAGAAGCTCCAGCGTTAACTCATGTTTTCCATGAACTTACGATGTAAAAAGGAAACTGCAGCAAGGATGGAATGTTAGGCCCAAAAGTCCTTACCAATAAACTAGGAAAGGAAGTGTTTAGCTTACCCATGGTCAGCTGGATATACGAGAGATGGGGAGCTGGAAAGCAAATAAAGCACATTCATTTTCATCTTGTAACGTTTACGTGTTACTCTCTGCTTGTACAATCTTATAATGCCAGCTTTCTCCAGACACTGCATCAATTACATGAATTATATTGCACACAATGTATTGTTTAAACATTAGTTATTCATTGATAATCAGAAATGGAAATAGCAATGCTTTACTTACCCTTTGATGAATTCAATTGAGCCAAAAAACTACCATCTGCAAAAGATAAATAATATTTCCAGTCATTGTATACTGTTGTAGAATGTCTAATATGGGATATGAATGCTATTACAGTGCCTTGGTCAATATAATGACTTACAGTACAGAAAAAACTATTAATGTCAGTATGTGTAACCCAGTACAACTTACTTGTAGGGTGTTGGTTTTCCTCCTTTGATTCAGATAAATGACTCTTTGAGAGAGAAATGACATAGGGACACCTTGAGATCATCATCATCATCATCAGTCTACCCTTATGTATCATCATCATCATCACCACCACCACCACCACCACCATCATCATCATCACCACCACCACCATCATCATCATCATCATTATCATCAACACCACCACCCTCATCATTATCATCATCAGTCTACCCTTATGTATCATCATCATCATCATCATCATCATCATCATCACCACCACCACCCTCATCATCATCATCACCACCACCACCACCACCCTCATCATCATCATCATCATCGTCATATCTGAGTCTAGCTATCACTGATGATAATTGGACATACCTTGTCAGGTGAGCTTATTTGCACTGTTGTGAGAACTGCGGTCATAATCACCATGGCGACTGTGAGAAACCCGCACCACACATGGAGCAGCAGGTATCTGGAGGTGTGCTGTTGGTTCTTCATCCTCTGAGAAACACACAAGTACCACACACCACTGAGAGCCGTCCCAATTCACTCCCTTCCCCTTCCCCTTGGCCGTAATCCTTATCTAATCCAAAATGTGCAGATCTGAAGGGTCTAGAATGAGGTATAAGCAGACAGGTTGTAGATCTTCCACCATAGGCTATTGCTTGAGTCTGAGCAGCTCAACATTAGTCAATAGGCTGCCTTCTGAATAACATTTAGTTTAGATTATACCCCACTCTGGGATTTCACCCATACAGGTTCTTCCCCTCTTGAACCACAATGCTTCCCTATGTGCAGTGTGGTTTGCTACCTGTATGGCTCAAACAATAACATCAGTGGCTGTAAATGTGATATGTGAACTCACTATCAGAGAAATAAAAGAAAATAATTTGTAGTAAACATGCAGAGAGTAGTATGTACCGTTTGACCGTGACAAGACATTACGGCTGTCACGCAGTGTACTCCGATATGTTCAGTTGGACATGAATGTATCAGTCACAGTGACTAAGACTAGTCAAAATAACAATCATAATAATAATACTTTTGGGGATGCTTATATTTGTCCTGTTACACACTTGTACAAGGTACAAATAATTGTGAAGGTATGCATAGTGAGTGAGAGAATGATCTGGCAATGATCAATTTGACCGCATTACCTGTCATATGATATTGCCTACTACAGTCTCACTATTGAAAATACCATTAAATATTCATACAACAACCACCGTTTTTGGACCAAATATAACTGTTGAGCCATTAGACTATTACTGTGTGATGATAAATCAGGCATTACTGTTATCACCAAGTGCTTTTACATTGTGTCACATTTTCATCATCCATACATCCTATAATTAAGTCTAAGAATAGGCATTTCACATTATGAAAAATTATTGCAAATACAATGGTCCATTGTCCACAATTCTGTGATACCAAAACGTACAGATTCATCATTAATACATGAGTAGCTTGATATGAAAAAAATAAAACAATGACCAGGATCTCAACTCACCTGGTGTGTCTTGTAGTGTCTTGTACAAACAAATCTGTCTGTAGCAAACCATGCAGCATTTCAGAGACAGGTTCATTAGACAGGGCTTCCCCCTTTAACATGAGTTTAGAGGTTAGATACGATGGAGTTTTTTTCTTCACTGTGAGTTGTGATTGGAAATAAAGGAGGGAGTGAAAGCAAAGCATCAATAACTAAACAACCACCTCAAAGTCTAGGTTGACTTTGTTCACATTGACCCTGGGACAGGTAAATTAGCAACTGATGATCAATGTCATATTCTTCTATGAAAATATATTTTAGCCTGGTCCAAGATCTGTTTATGCTTATGCCTACTCCATTGTCAAGCCAGGCATGACAATTCCATAAGGAGCTGGCAAAAGAGCAGAAACAGATTGCATTGATAACACTTTTTTAAAATAATCAATAAAACCAGGTATTTTAACCATTATTTTATTAAATACTGTAGATAGTGTTGTAAAGTAACTAAGGGATAAATCCATTTGAATTCAATCACTTTTTGACAGCACCCCTTTTGATTTGAACGAAACCTATCATCCATATTGGCCCATTGTAGAAGTGCACAGAAAGTTACTTTTTAGACCTGAATGCCAAAACATTAAAGAGATAAAGGTGCTCAAAGTTGACGTACTTTTCATACCCCACCACACAATGAGACATCCATGTCTTCATCACTGGAAACGATAAACGGTTGAGATTGGTATAATTTAAAAGCTTACAAACAGTGGTGTCAAACTATTTAATAATTTCTTGAAAACATTTTTGGAATAACATTTGTCATTTTCTAATCTTATATGTCCATTATCTAAAAACGTGTCAACTCCGATTCTTTTCATATTCAGATATGTTGTAGCTTAGACCCTATTTTACATCATCTGAGGTTTTTGTGTTGTGCCCGCCACCGGTTGAGGTACAACATGCTCTTGAATACAGGGTGGTGTCATGTTTTGGCTGATAAATGTACTAAAATGGGAATAAAATGGAAATTTCAACTTTCAAATGGTATCAAAAAGATGGTCAGAGGTCCACACACCAGAGAATGTTAACTTGAATAGGAATATCTGTTTTTTAAATTATACTGTCAATCCTCTATAGGAAACCTATTGAAATCATAGAAATATGGATAAAAGAATATAGATTTAAGTTTACATTCAACAGTGGGTGGACCAGCGGCCATCTTTGTGGTAGTAATTAGAAGTAAAAATGTAAATTCAATTAAAATGTCAATGGTGTACCAGCTAAATTGCAGTGGTCTGAAGGGATATGTCCATTCTATGAATTATATTTATATGATTGAAATGACACCCACGCTGTATTCAAGAGCATTACTGTCAAACACAAGAACCTCAAACGTTTGAGTTTGAATGCGTAAACTCTGATTTTTTTCCATATGTTGTAGCTTAGACCCTATTTTACATCATTTATATTTTCCAGTGATGAAGACATGGATGTCTCATGGTATGGTAGTCAAACAAATCTACTTTGAAACCAAAGTATACACCTAACACACATTGGTTATGGTCTTTAAAAAAATAAGACACCTGTACCATGTCAGATATAGTTTAAATGTATTCAATTTAGAGTTTGCATCCCAATATTACACTTTATATACATCACAGAAGACTGAAAAATAACACAACTGTTTGACATAGAAACACCGGATTTCCAGCGTTTAAAAAACTAAATAATGTTGATTACTTTACTATTTATATATATATTTTTACAACTTTTACTTTTACTCCACTACATTCCTAAATACAATATGTACTTTTTACCCCCATACATTTTCCCTGACACCTAAAAGTACTTGTTACATTTCGGATGCTGAGCAGGAAAATAACGATTACGGAGCGATTTCAGTGACAACAGAAACTGTATTTGAATTCAATATTACTTTATTTACATTAAGATATTGAATTTAAATGCAATCATTTTAAATTTGTAATGCACAAATTTAATAATTGAATTAATAAATTGAACTTGTATTTTCATGATTTGAAAATGAATTGAATGAATGTTGCATTCAGTTTAAAAATTATATTACAATTTAATTGAATATTCAAATTCAATATTTATAAATTCTGTTTCAATATGGTGGATATTGCATTAATTGTCTACGTATCAAGTTTACAAACTATCATTTTAAATTTACCATAGTTTCACAGATTCAGATGCATTCAGATTCAGTTTTCAAATTCAGTTCACTTTCACATTTACATGAGTCATTTTCTATTAAGGTATCTTTAATTTGACTCAAGTATGACAATTTGATCCTTTTTCCACCACTGAATAGATAACAGTACAGGCAAAGAGAAGGTGGCAATCACTATTATCCCTATGGTGAGGAACTATTGGCTAGTACGGCTACAGATGAGTAAGGTACAACATTGACAGAGGCATGTGTTTTCCCATATAGGTCAGTGTTAGTGGGTTCGACAGGCACAAAAACATGACAGGGAGTTTTCTTCATGGTTTCATACACCAGCTGGCAGCCACAGTGACTCAATCTGACTTGACATACATAGTGATGAAATAACAGCGATGAAACAGTGGCAACACAGTGTTGATGGTTTGTCTGATTCTCCTATTGTTTCTCCAGTCAAATCCCCCCCTTAGATACGCTATACAGGTGAAGGGAATGAGGCTATGGGAATAGCCATAGGGTATGGGAATAGCCATAGGGTATGGGAATAGCCATAGGGCATGGAAATAGCCATAGGGTATGGAAATAGCCATAGGGTATGGAAATACAGATGCGTGAAGTTGAACAATGTTGATTTCGTAAACAGGACTGAAAGTAACATTTAGAAAGTGGAGAGAGAGCGAAAGCGAGAGAGAGAGAGAGAGAGAGTGTGTGTTTGTTGGTAGATTTCTATTTAACTTTCCTGTTGTTGGTTTCATGCTCCATGGGGCATCCCCAATCAACCTCCCTGTGCTTTCCTTGACACACACACACGGTTTAGGTGCTTACCCAATGCAGGCCTTTAATCATGTTTGGCCTTTAATCATGTTTGCCTCTTAGTCTTTTCCCCATCTTCCTGAAATGCAGAAGTGCAGGCAATGCTGTTGTTGAAAGCAGAAACCTTCTGGCATCCATCTAATTATGTTCTGTTCAGTTTCTGTTCAGTTTTAGATCATTGATCAGTTTCTGTTCAGTTTTAGATCATTGATCAGTTTCTGTTCAGTTTTAGATCATTGATTTCAATCTGTGCAGCATCGTAGATGTGTTTGGCTCAATATTGGTACATACCAGTGCTCACCATTCCTGGTCAGGGAGTGCTAAAGGGTGTGCATGTTTTTGTTTCTGCCCAGCACGAACACACCTGATTAGTGTGTTACTAGTGAACTGCTCATCAATATAACTAGTGAACTGCTCATCAATATAACTAGTGAACTGCTCATCACCAATCAGGTGTGTTAGAGGTGGCCTGAAACAACCATCATTTGACAGTAATTAAATATTATACAGGGGAGTTTGACTGCCTATTGACAAGATATGCTTTCATATAAATGGCATTGATATTTGAGAAATGATCCAGAAATGAAAAGAGGAACACACTGAGCATAGAATCTCAGCTGTACGGTGACTATTTTAATTTATTGAAACAAGTCCTGCTGAGATTGAAACAAGTCCTGCTGAGATTGAAACAAGTCCTGCTGAGATTTTAAAAAAATCTCAGCAGGACTTGTTTCAAAGTCCTGCTGAGATTGAGGCTGTCCTATTATGGACATTGTACAGGTGAGAGAAAGGTATGAATCTAAAGTCATCCTGACAGAGACGGGAGGAAAATTCTCACCCTGTACTTCCTGCTGTTCATCAACAAGTTGTTTCATGCCAAAGTGTATCTAGGAAGTCAAGTGTCTTCATGTTGGTGCGTCACAAGTCTTTGAATGTGCGTAAATCAGAAGATAAATGGAGAGGGGGAGGGAGAGCGACAAGGATTTCATCATGGTTTCGGATATTCATATTAGCCCCGGGCATAGCTGAAACACAGAGGTACTTGAATGGTGACATTGTTAGCAACATGTTGACTTTGTCTAATTCAGCAATTAATTGTCTCCTGCCACTGGTAGTAACCACTGGTATGTCAATTAGATTTAGGATCAGGTTCCCTATCTATGTAATCTTATTCATTATCTGAAAGGCGAAACTGATCCTAGATCAGCACTCCTGCTCTGCTTTATGAATACAGGTCCAGAGCTACAGTATAGAATTCAAAATGTTACATAAGCATAAGGACACAACTGTTGTTTGGCCTTTCCTTGAGGCTACAGGTAAAAACCCACATCACCTGATAATGTCAAGTACATTGACTGGGCATTTTGCTTTGTCAGTGATGACAGTGCAGATGAAAGTCGTGCTATTTTACATCAATCAATGGCTTTGACATAATTTTGAGAAACTATTAACTCAAAGAATTCTCAATTCCACTTCCTTCTTGTATAGGAAAAGGTTTATTGCCAATGTAGTGTATACTGTAGATGTTTTTATAGGACCAGACATGAGAGTCTGGTCTCAACTATTATTGTAGTTAAACCATAGAAATTACAAGTACAATGTATCCAATGCACCCCAAAGGCCTAGTCTACCCCATCATATATCCCTATTTTCTTGATTTTGACCTGCAGGTCAAAGAAATAACCTTACAAGAAATAACAGGACAGGTGAAAGCAAATTTCACTGTTTCTGCTTTCAGTCACCCTGTGTATTATTACATTAGTGCAAATTAAGAAGAGAACTGTTAATGACCACTCTAGTTGTGAACGACTGTGTGCTCTGAGCTTCTGATCTGTCAGCAGCATCATGGGAATTTCCCCTGCACTGTCAGTGTAACAATGTGGGTGGCTCCTCCCCCGTAAACTAGTCCTGGATTCTTTTCTAAATATATGAATGGTATTTAGATGGAGGTCAGTGGAGGCTGCTGAGGGGAGGACTGCTCATAATAATGGCTGGAATGGAGTCAATGGAATGGTATCAATCACATGGAAACCAAGTGTTTGATACCATTCCATTGACTCCATTCCAGACATTATTATGAGTCATCCTCCCCTCAGTAGCCTCCACTGATGGAGGTAGGTGAAGAGTGGAACAGTGCAGTTCAGTGAACCATGACTGAGTCAAGTCATCCCTTGCAAAAAGAGAAGTGCGTGAAAATGAAATATTTGCCTAGAAATAGGCTCTTTAAGAAAACGTGATAACTGTGTGCCTTGTCACTGCAAGTATAAATGGGCGATAGAAAATGCATAGAAGTCTAAGCATGGGTCACTAGTGCTATTCTAAACATTCAGAGACTTTGGAATAGACTTTGATTCCACTAGTATTTTGAATAGCAGTTCTTTTTTTCTGTTTATTTGTTTTACTATTACACATGGGGAATGAGAGGAGAGTTCTTCATTTGAATTAGTTCCACGTTTCTGAGTTAGATCAATGTTAGAGTGGGCAATATGCTAATATTAAACTCTCAAAAGGAAACCTATTTCGATGCATGGCATGATCTTGATTGAAGATTCCAACAAATAGCAGGTAGCCTGTAATAGATTGTGGAGATGGATATGAGCAAATGTAATCTAATAACCACAAAATGGAAGAGCAGTAGTGATAAGAAGTACATAAAAATAAAAAAGTGAATGAATCATTTAGATTCTTACCTCAGTGCCACGCCTTATTCTCCAGATGACAAAACTCTGAAAAAAACACATATATATATATACATTACCAGTCAAAAGTTTGGACACACCTACTCATTCAAGGGTTTTTCTTTATTTGTACTATTTTCTATATTGTAGAATAATAGTGAAGACATCAAAACTATGAAATAACACATATGGAATGATGTAGTAACCAAAAAAGTGTTAAACAAATCAAAATATATTTGAGATTTGAGATTCTTCAAATAGCCACCCTTTGCCTTGATGACAGCTTTGCACACTCTTGGCATTCTCTCAACCAGCTTCACCTGGAATGCTTTCCCAACACTCTTGAAGGAGTTCCCACATATGTTTAGCACTTGTTGGCTGCTTTTCCTTCACTCTGCCGTCCGACTCATCCCAAACCATCTCAATTGGGTTGAGGTCGGGGGATTGTAGAGGTCAGGTCATTTGATGCAGTACTCCATCACTCTCCTTCTTGGTAAAATAGCCCTTACACAGCCTGGAGGTGTGTTGGGTCATTGTCCTGTGGAAAAACAAATTATAGTCCCACTAAGCCCTATCCAGATGGGATGGCGTATCGCTGCTGAATGATGTGGTAGCCATGTTGGTTAAGTGTGCCTTGAATTCTAAATAAATCACAGAAAGTGTCACCAGCAAAGCACCATAACACCTCCTCCTCCATGCTTTACGGTGGGAACTACACATGCAGAGATCAGCCGCTCACCCACACCGCATCTCACAAAGACACAGTGGTTGGAACCAAAAATCTCAAATTTGGACTCCAGACCAACATTTCCACCGGTCTAATGTCCATTGCTCGTGTTTCTTGGCCCAAGCAGGTCTCTTCTTCTTACTGGTGTCCTTTAGTAGTGGTTTACATTTACATTTACGTCATTTAGCAGACACTCTTATCCAGAGCGACTTACAAATAGGTGCATTCACCTTATAGCCAGTGGGATAACCACTTTACAATGTTTTTTTTTTTTTTGGGGGGGGGGGGGGGGGTTGGGGTAAGGGGGGGGGGGTAGAAGGATTACTTTATCATATCCCAGGTATTCCTTAAAGAGGTGGGGTTTCAAATGTCTCCGGAAGGTGGTGAGTGACTCCGCAGTCCTGGCGTCGTGAGGGAGCTTGTTCCACCATAGGGGTGCCAGAGCAGCGAACAGTTTTGACTGGGCTGAGCGGGAACTATGCTTCCGCAGAGGTAGGGGAGCCAGCAGGCCAGAGGTGGATGAACGCAATGCCCTCGTTTGGGTGTAGGGACTGATCAGAGCCTGAAGGTACGGAGGTGCCGTTCCCCTCACAGCTCCGTAGGCAAGCACCATGGTCTTGTAGCAGATGCGAGCTTCAACTGGAAGCCAGTGGAGTGTGCGGAGGAGCGGGGTGACGTGAGAGAACTTGGGAAGGTTGAACACCAGACGGGCTGCGGCATTCTGGATGAGTTGTAGGGGTTTAATGGCACAGGCAGGGAGCCCAGCCAACAGCGAGTTGCAGTAATCCAGACGGGAGATGACAAGTGCCTGGATTAGGACCTGTGCCGCTTCCTGTGTAAGGCAGGGTCGTACAGTTTCTTTGCAGCAATTCGACCATGAAGGCCTGATTCACACAGTCCCCTCTGAACAGTTGATGTTGAGATGTGTCAGTTACTTGAACTCCTTGAAGCATTTATTTGGGCTGCAATTTTCTGAGGCTGGTAACTTTAATGAATTTATCCTCTGCAGCAGAGGTAACTTTGGGTCTTCCATTCCTGTGGTGGTCCTCATGAGAGCCAGTTTCATCATAGCGCTTGATGGTTTTTGTGACTGCACTTGAAGAAACTTTCAAAGTTCTTGAAATGTTCTGTATTGACTGACCTTCATGTCTTAAAGTAATGATGGACTGTCGTTTCTCTTTGCTTATTTGAGCTGTTCTTGCCATAATATGGACTTGGTCTTTTACCAAATAGGGCTATATTCTGTATACCTACCTTGTCACAACACAACTGATTGGCTCAAACGCATTAAGAAGGAAAGAAATTCCACAAATTAATTTTTAAGAAGGCACACCTGTTAATGTGAAATGCATTCCAGGTGACTACCTCATGAAGCTGGTTGAGAGAATGCCAAGAGTGTGCAAAGCTGTCATCAAGGCAAAGGGTGGCTATTTGAAGAATCTTAAATATAAAATATATTTTGATTTGTTTAACACTTTTTTCGTTACTACATGATTCCATATGTGTTATTTCATAGTTTTGATGTCTTCATTATTATTCTAATAATAATAATAATAATATGCCATTTAGCAGACGCTTTTATCCAAAGCGACTTACAGTCATGTGTGCATACATTTTTACGTATGGGTGGTCCCGGGGATCGAACCCACTACCCTGGCGTTACAAGCGCCATGCTCTACCAATTGAGCTACAGAGGACCACCTATTGTACAATGTAAAAAATTGTAAAAATAAAGAAAAACCCTTGAATGAGTAGGTGTGTCCAAACTTTTGACTGGTAGTGTAACTGTTCAATGACAGATTTTAGAAATGTGAGAATATATATTTTCTCTGGTGGTCCAAGCCCTTTTGTTTTATAGTGAGGTTAGATTACACACAAAAAACACAAACCTTTCTCTTGAGGGAGATGGACAAATCTATCCATATTTTTACAAGCTGTTTGGGTCTGAAACGCCTTCACCACTTTATTATCCAATAAGGCACTGCCACGAGCTGATAAAAAGAAAATACACGATTTTCATTGAGGAGCACTTACAGTGCAAACATGCAAATATTGTTTGCATCTCTAAGCACAGTAACCCTTTGGGCAGCTATACCATCTCCTTGTTATACAATTTAAAAACACATAATATGTACATTGTACATATGTAATATTTAATTAAACAGCAATGTGATGTATTAATAATAGTATGTATCTCAATTCTTAGATTATCTCAGCTTTGCTTCATTTCCTGGTATTCCATCACAGTATGCAATCATGAATGACTCCTGGGCTGACCGTAAAGCATGAATCTGTTGAGGGCGTCGTGTGTCTCTAGTGGGTCCAAGTGACGCTCTATCTCCTGCAGCAGGATACACTGGGTGCAGTTCAGCCACTCTCCACTCCACACTAGAGTTTGGAGCTCAGGCCTGCCTGTGTCAAAACAACAGGCAATTCATTATTAAATGGGCTGACATAGTTTTGCTTAAGTTTTGGTCACACATACAGTGAGCTCCAGAGGAATTGGGACAGTGACTATTTTGTTGTTGTTTTGGGCTCTGTACTCCAGCACTTTGGATTTGAAATGATATAATGACCATGAGGTTAAAGTGCAGACTATCAGCTTTAATTTGAGGGTATTTTCATCCATATCGGGTGAACCGTTTAGAAAGTACAGCACTTTTTGTACGTAGTCCACTCATTTTGGGCGACCAAAAATATCGGGACAAATTCACTTATATGTGTATGAAAGTAGTAAAAAGTGAAGTCCAAAGTGCTGGAATACAGAGCCAAAACAACAAAAAATGTGTCACTGTCCCAATACTTTTTCAGTGGGTCAATATACTCACTGTAAAAAAGCCTGAGTTAAGAGAAAGAATCTCAAGTTAAAAGTTGCACCTAAGTTGGTGGGAGTGGTTGTGAGTTACCTTCCATTGTCAAATCATCTTTGCCAGGCTGAATAGTATAGGTCCAGTTTTTCATAATGCAATGAACACCCCTAAAATTGAAAAAGATGTGCGTTATCACACAGACAGCTTCTACTGTCATTTTGTAAACAACATTGACATTCTCCTATACTCTGAAAATGTTAGTCAAGGTAGAATAGTCCACAAGTATTGCAACGCCATATAGGGTGTAATTAAGACTGTTGAAGTGTGTACAACTGGGTAGAATTTCAGTTTCTCATTTGTTCACTTCCCATAATGGATTTGACAAGAAATGACTGTTATAAGAAACTCCCTTTTAGCCCACGCATATACAGTGCATTTGGAAAGTGTTCAGACCCCTTTACTTTTTCCACATTTTGTTACATTATAGCCTTCTTCTAAAATGGATTACATAGTTTTTTCCCCCTCATCAATCTACACACAATACCCCATAATGACAAAGCAAAAACAGGTTTTCAGACATTTTTGCAAATGTATTACAAATAAAAAACTGAAATATCACACAGCCTTGAGTCTTCTTGGGTTTGACACTACAAGCTTGGCACACCTGTATTTGGGGAGTTTCTCCCATTCTTCTCTGCAGATCCTCTCAAGCTCTGTCAGGTTGGATGGGGAGCATTGCTGCACAGCTATTTTCAGGTCTCTCCAGAGATGTTCGATCAGGTTCAAGTCCGGGCTCTGGCTGGGCCACTCAAGGACATTCAAAGACTTATCCCGAAGCCACTCCTGCATTGTCTTGACTGTGTGCTTAGGGTCTTTGTCCTGTTGGAAGGTGAACCTTCGCCCCAGTCTGAGGTCCTGAGCGCTCTGGAACATCAAGGATCTCTCTGTACTTTTCTCCGTTCATCATTCCCTCGATCCTGACTAGTCTCCCAGTCCCTGCCGCTGAAAAACATCCCCACAGCATGATGCTCCCACCACCATGCTTCACCGTAGGGATGGTGCCAGGTTTCCTCCAGACGTGACGCTTGGCATTCAGGCCAAAGAGTTCAATCTTGGTTTCATAAGACCAGAGAATCTTGTTTCTCATGGTCTGAGAGTCCTTTAGGTGCCTTTAAGCAAACTCCAAGTGGACTGTTGTGCCTTTTACTGAGGAGTGGCTTCCGTCTGGCCACTCTACCATAAAGGCCTGATTGGTGGAGTGCTGCAGAGATGGTTGTCCTTCTGGAAGGTTCTCCCATCTCCACAGAGGAACTCTGGAGCTCTGTCAGAGTGACCATCAGGTTCTTGGTCACCTCCCTGACCAAGGCCCTTCTCCCCCGATTGCTCAGTTTGGCCGGGTGGCCAAACTTCTTCCATTTAAGAATGATGGAGGCCACTTTGTTCTTGGGGACCTTCAATGCTGCAGAACCTTTTTGGTACCCTTACCCAGACCTGTGCCTCGACCCAATCTTGTCTCAGAGATCTACAGACAATTCCTTCGACCTCATGGCTTGGTGTTTGCTCTGACATGCACTGTCAACTGTGGGACCTTATATAGACAGGTGTGTGCCTTTCCAAATCATGTCCAATCAATTGAATTTACCATTGGTGGACTCCAATCAAGTTGTAGAAACATCTCAAGGATGATCAATGGAAACAGGATGCACCTGAGCTGAATTTCGAGTCTCATAGCAAAGGGTCTGAATACTTATGTAAATAAAGTATTTAAGTAAATTTTTTTATCAATTTGCAAATATTTCTAAAAGCCTGTTTTCACTTTGTTATTATGGGGTATTGTGTGCAGATTGATGAAGATTTTTTTTTTGGAATAAGGCTGTAACCTAACAAAATGTGGAAAATGTCAAGGGGTCTGAATACTTTCCGAATGCACTGTACAAATCAAATGCTTTTACATTTCTGGGGAGTAGTGAACAAGTGCAAACTTCAGGAAGAAGGAGAGATTATTGGGACATACCCCAATTTGCCTTCTCTACCATTATGATTGTGTGTCAGCTATCCCTGGTGTCTTACATACGCATGGCTCCGGTCAACAGTAGTGTATCTTTAGCGGTCTCATTCAGGTGAAACACAGTGCTGTCCATCTGTCTGAACATCTGCACATCCGACTCCTTCACACCAGCCGCTGCAATGAAGTACCATTTGCCGAGATACTGAGAGAGAGAGAGAGAGAGAGAGAGAGAGATTTGTGAAAGGAGGAAAAGAGAGGGGGAGAATTATAAGAAGAAAAAATATATATATTTTAAGAAATTACTGACAAAAAACGACCACCACTGTTGAAAACCAGTGGGTGGGGAAAGCGGAGAGCGACAAGTGAAAGGCCAATGCCATAAGTGGGAAGAAAGTCAAAAACTATCTCTGAAACTGAAACTGTGAAACCATTAGTTGAGGTGCTGTCCTTATCTAGTCGTATCCCCCATTACGGAAAAACCACATGAATTGTGAAATCATGTGGATTTTCTGTAAGGTACAACCATATACTGTATGCTGTAGGACTCTAATTACAACATTCTGTCAAATCAAACCACATATGGTGGGAAGTACAGCAAACTGCATCTTGTATTTTGTATGTTGTTTGCAGGGCTCACTTGTAAAAGTGACTCCCTGTATGTTTTAACTCAAAGTTGACTACTTGTATGAATAAAGTTGAAATAAAATAAATAAATCACACATATTTTTTGTAAATAAATTAAAGACCAAAAACGCAATAATCATTTGATAATCATCATGAAGGGCTCATGAGGTTTTGATATTACATCGCTTGTGTATAATAACCTAATTAATAGGTCATAATAGAGCTAAAAACACAGATAGTACATCTGCATATCTCTCTTACCTGTTGGGTATTGAGATTGCTTGTAGATAGAAGGACTGGTTGGGAGCAAGGGGAGAAGAGCTGACCCAACCACCCATTCACAAAGAGCAAGAACGAATACACTTCCTTGGCCTCTAACATACCTGAACCACTTCAATCAACTTGTGGCCTAAAATAAACCTCGTAATTGATCTCTCTTTCTGGGCTTGATCTGTCTGTGTCAGGATTGAGCTTTAAACGTTTTAGGATTGTGGTAATCATTAACCACTTGTTTGTTAGCACAACTTTCCACCATCCCACATAGTCCAAAGGCCTGCATACCAAAAGGTGTTGTTCCACTGTCCATGAAGCGGGACAGTAAAATGTCAACACAAGTCTTTTTGGCTGGGTGGCCTTTAAAGTAAGTGTTTGAGCGTTTACCCAATTTTAGGAAATAGGCTTGCTACTACACCCCCTATTCTCCTCACCATCTATCAGCCCACATGTTGGTGGATGGGTTTCAATATGACTATCATTTCTGCAGTCTACACCGGTAATGCACATCCCACAGGTTATTGAGGTTATCTTGTTTGTGAGACAGTATCACAGCACTAGAGTATCTACCAAGTGGTGTCAATGTAATTAATTATCCCTGTAGTATGCATTAGGGCCAGGAGTTTTCCTGACTATGTGAGCCTGAACAGGAAAAACTCCTGGCACAATACCATATGTAAACTCAACTTTTTGTAAGTAACACAATATAAGAGACTGTCTTCACTGGACTTGTTACGACGGATGCACGTGGACCGACTTGCCCCAATCACCTTTGATATGACGTCATGAATATACTTGCGCCATGCGCTACAATAAAATAGTTCCAATACAACACATCCACCCTTTCTTTTAAGACATGTGTTTCTAAAATGTCAAAACTTCACATACTGTTTATAGTTCATCACTCTGTAATAAACGTGTCTCAACATATTAATTCATAAACAAACTTTTCTGTCTTTGACTCATGAAACATCAACTAATTTTCTGTCTTTAAAATTCCTTAAAACAGTTGTTTCTTCAACCCTTACTATATTCTACCCTAACCTGAGCTGGGTGGACTGCCAGTCACCTTCATAGCTGCAGTGGGGTTCTTCTGCCACATAATGCAGGCTGTGTGTTAATCACTGCACATGCTCTCCGTATCGGTCTGGTGGTTTGACAACTCTGCCACGAGAAGTCGTGCACTGGAGTATGTGGTGCAGTGACAGGCATCTGGAACAGGTAAGTACAACTCCGTGTCACACTCGGTCTCTGAAGCACTGTGGAGGGGGTTTCAGGTGGCGTCGATTCCTGCGCAGCACTCCCTTGTCTCTCTAGACCAAGTATGACCTGGGTGTGTCACACTGTTGAAGCACTGAAGCCGTCTTTGTCCAGTCTCGTTCGTCGTCCAGCTTCACGGCAACGTTCACTCTGTGCTGGAGTTCTGGAAGGGCTTCTGACCTGTTGTTGTAGACACGCATTAAGCTCTGCTTTGCTCTATGGTCGACACGTCTCACCTGCTGGAGGTCTGGCCATGCCGGTTGGAGGTTAACCTCCAGGGTGGGGACTGTGATGCGGAGCTGTCTGCCAAGCATGAGCTGTGCTGGGCTCACACCTGTGGCTTGCAGTGGCGTTGCTCTGTAGGTTATGAGAGCTAGGAATGGGTCAGCCTGTTTCAGGATCCCTTTGGCTGTCTGCACGGCTCTCTCGGTTTCACCATTTGCTTGGGCGTAGGGAGGGTTGGTGGTAATGTGTCTGAAATCATAGTCCTTGCGTGAAAGCTCTACCTGAGAACTGGGAGCATTGTCTGTATTAGAATATTTGGGCATCCCCACCTGGCGAAGATGTTCTTCAGTTTAGCTCTTATAGTTTCTCCAGACATGTCTTTGAGGTAAGTTATTTCTATATATTTAGAAAAATACTCCACAACTACCAAGTAGTTTTGCTTGTTGTGTTCACATATGCCAGCTGCTACTCTTTCCCATGGGAAACTGGGGAGTGGAGTGGTGATCAGAGGTTCCCTCCTCTGAGTAGGTTTGGACTCCTGGCAGTCTTTGCATGTACTGACTATTTCCTGGATGTTTTGACTTATTCCAGGCCACCACACACTACCTCTAGCTCGCTCCCGGCACTTCACAATGCCCTGATGGCTGTGGTGTATGCGCTTCAACATTTACGTTCTCATGTTTTGTGGCACTACTATATCATCACCATACAACACTAGTCCTTGTGAGGTTGAGAGGTTCTGTCGGGAGGTGTAGTAGGTTTTTAACCTTGTCTGGCACTTTGGCTGCATACTTAGGCCATCCTGTTGTCACATAGTGTTTCACCATCTGAAGCTCTGCATCCTGTTGTGTCTGCTTCTTGACGACATCAAGCTTGGTGGGTGAGAAATGCCATGCTGTATGAACTGCATCCTCATAGGCCTCGATTTCACTGGTCAGCTCTACGATCTCTCGTGTAACAGCTGCCTGGGGATGTCTGGAAAGGGTGTCTGCTATAACAAGTTGTTTCCCCGGCACATACTTGGCTGTAGGGTTATAACGCATCGTGTGCATCAACAGTCTCTGACACCTCAAAGGCACTAAATCAAGGTCTTTACAGTTTATTAGTGGAATAAGAGGTTTGTGATCACTCAGCAGTGTGAATGTATCTAGGCCATACAGATATCTGGTAAACTTCTCATATGCCCAGACTGCTGCGAAACACTCATTTTCTATCTGTGCATAGTGCTTCTCTGCATCTGTGAGAGTCCTGGAGCAATAAGCTACTGGCTTTAACTGTCCATCTTGCTTCTGTAGTAGGACCCCACCTAACCCATAACTACTGGCGTCTGCACTGACTATGGTAGGCTTTATCATATCATAGAATGCCAGTACAGGTGACTATGTGACAAGCTGCTTTACCTTCCTAAAGGCCTCCTCCTGCACTGCACTCCATGTCCATGTAGCGTCCCTCTTGAGCAGGTCGTTGAGTGGTTTGTTGACATCGGCTAGACCCGGTAGGTACCTGCCTAGGTAGTGAATCATACCCAGGATCCTCCTCAGATCAGACACATTACTTGGTGGCTCCAGCTGGGTGATGGCCTGGATCTTGGCATCATCAGGACAAATGACATTCTCGTCAATGCAGTGTTGTGGGTAGTTAAGCCATTTCTGATGCAGCAGACATTTGTCTCGCCTCATGATCCACTGGCATGTCTGAGTAAATAAGTATATCATCCATGTAAATGGACACACCTTCTTGGTCCTTCAGGAGCTCGGTCATCTCACGCTGGAAGATTTCTGGGGCACTAGTGATTCCGAATGGAAGTGTGTTGAAATAGTACCTTCTAAAAGGCGTTATGAATGTGGTAAGCCTGGCACTCTCTCTGTCTAGTGGAATCTGCCAGAAGCCACTTGCTGCATCTAAAAGAGAAAACACCTTGGCACCAGCAAGCTTTGGCAGGATATCTTCTATGGTGGGTAGAATGTATTTCTCCCTTTCCACTGATTTGCTTAACCTTCACAGGTCAGCACATACCCTCAGCTGGTCTTTGTTCTTCTTGGGTACCAGGACCATAGGAGCACACCACTCTATAGGCTCCCTGATCTCCGCGATCACACCACTCGCTACCATGCGGTCAAGCTCCTTTTTCACTTTGGGGAGCATGGGCACTGACACACGTCTGGCTGTGTAGGGCACCGCATCATCTTTCAGGCTTATTTTGATTGGTTTTATCTTCAGCCTGCCCACATCTGCAGGATGAGCACTCTTAAGCTGCTTTGTGCTTTTGATCTCTTCTATTCTCTTTACCAAGCCCACTGCAACAGCTACATTACGGCCTAGCAGATGGCTTCCATGTGACCCCTTTATCACATACACTTTGAACCTAAACTGCTGTCCTTTCCACATAGTAGTAGCTGTAAAGTGACCCATACAGTTCAGTTTACATTTATTTTTTTTCATACTGGCCCCCCGTGGGAATCAAACCCACAACCCTGGCGTTGCAAACGCCATGCTCTATCAACTGAGCTACATCCCTGCCGGCCATTCCCTCCCCTACCCTGGACGACGCTGGGCCAATTATTCGCCGCCCCATGGGTCTCCTGGTCGCGGCCGGCTACGACATAGCCTGGATTCGAACCAGGATCTCTAGTGGCACAGCTAGCACTGCGATGCAGTGCCTTAGACCACTGCGCCACTCGGGCATTCTGCATTCTTAGCAGCACATCTACTACATGACCAAAAGTATGTGGACAAGTGCTCATCGAACATCACATTCCAAAATCATGGGCATTAATATGGAGTTGGTTCCCCTTTGCTCCTCTACACTGGCTTCCTGTTAAGGCTAGGGCTGATTTCAAGGTTTTACTGCTAACCTACAAAGCATTACATGGGCTTGCGCCTACCTATCTCTCCGATTTGGTCCTGCCGTACATACCTACACATACGCTACGGTCACAAGACGCAGGCTTCCTTATTATTCCTAGAATGTCTAAGCAAACAGCTGGAGGCAGGGCTTTCTCCTATAGAGCTCAATTTGTATGGAATGGTCTGCCTATCAAGGTGAGAGATGCAGATTCGGTCTCGACTTTTAAGTCTTTACTGAAGACTCATCTCTTCAGTAGGTCCTATGATTGAGTGTAGTCTGGCCAAGGGGTGCGGAGGTGAATGGCAAGGCACTGGAGCGACGAACCGCCCTTGCTGTCTCTGCCTGGCCGGCTCCCCTCTCTCCACTGGGATTCTCTGCCTCTGACCCTTTTACGGGGGCTGAGTCACTGGCTTACTAGTGCTCTTCCATGCCTTCCCTAGGAGGGGTGCGTCACTAGAGTGGGTTGAGTCACAGACGTGATCTTCCTGTCCGGTTTTGCACCTCCTCGGGCTTGTGCGGTAGAGGAGATCTTCATGGGCTATAATCAGGGTAGTAAGTTGGTGGTCTGTTGATATCCCTCTAGTGGTGTGGGGGCTATGCTTTGGCAAAGTGGGTGGGTATCTATGCTGCAATAGTCTACAGTGGGGGAAAAAAGTATTTAGTCAGCCACCAATTGTGCAAGTTCTCCCACTTAAAAAGATGAGAGAGGCCTGTAATTTTCATCATAGGTACACGTCAACTATGACAGACAAATTGAGAGAAAAAAAATCCAGAAAATCACATTGTAGGATTTTTCATGAATTTATTTGCAAATTATGGTGGAAAATAAGTATTTGGTCACCTACAAACAAGCAAGATTTCTGGC